GAGAGCCATGAAACTTCCTGCCTGCACCAGATGCAGAATGTGCATCCCATGGCTGTGGCCACTACCTTACAGCCTCATAGCTCAAGAGGACTGGGCTTACAAGGAGGACTCATCACCTTGTCCCTCTGCCTGGGTGCAGGGCTTGTGGCATTGGCCAGCTGCTGTCCTTTCAAAGGTGCTCCAAAGGCAGATGACATCCTCACTCTGCCCTCAAATCCTGCTCAGTGTGGGAGATGCTGGGAAAACAGTTTTTGGCTTTACAACCTGCTGTGCTAACGAGGAATTAAGCAAACTGCACCAACTTTATGGAAGGGGCTTCTAACAACAGGAATCTTGAAGAAATTCACCAAGCAAGGTTTTTTGTTTTTTTTTTTTTTTTCATGATGATGTTAATCCAAAAATATGTGGTTGTGGCTGTAGGAGCCCTCCAGTCACCATCCCATTAGCCCACAGAGGGATGACTGAGCAAGGAGCGAGGCAGCTCTGTCAGGGCTTATCGTAACACCCGTCTCTGCAGCCAGCAATTTCACACTCTGTGAATGGAGTAATGTGATAAAAACACCCAGTTCTCCAGTCAGTCGAATAAGATGTAATTTAACTCTATTTCCCTTCAAATTGAAAGAAAAAAGAAATTAATAACCGATAGGCAAGTCTCTTCTCACAGGGCAGAAATGCTTGCTATAACAACTCTAAACTGGTAGTCCCCTGCACCATGGGTTTTATCACTGCCCTGGGACCCTACAACCAGGATTTGAACAGCTTTTATTCACTAACCTGGCTTAAATTAATTAATGGAAATTCTTCTCCATAATTACCTAGCCAAGAGGAACTCAACAGCTGAGGTAAATTTTAAAGACACTTCCCTGCTTTCCTGGAGCCTCATTTAATGCTCATTTTCCCCTACAGTCCCATCAATCCATTTTCCTGGAGAGCTGAGATGTCTGAGAGAGAAGCAGGTATTGGGGGAGTTTCTGGGCATCATAAGATGGATTCAGGTCTGGTCTGGAGGAGCTGCTCCACAGCTGCTGCTTTCCCAAAGGACACCCCAAGTCCTGCTCCATACTGTGAGGATCATAGCAAGCCTGAGCTCAGAAAAGTTAACCCAGTAGCAAATAAACCAGTAAAGGCCCATAAAAATGTTTTCAAATGCTAGAGACCTAATAATGAAACATTCTGTTCAGTAGTTAGTATTTGTGCTGCTCACCATTGGGTTCAGTTGCCCAGAGCTGGGGTGATGAATCCCTCAGGGAAGCTTTTGCAGGATGTGAGTGACCACATATGTCTGTGTATGATGATCACTTTGTGACACTGCTGCTGGCATCTAAGCAATGAGCAGTGAATGCACTGTCACTCCCACTGCCACCAGCACATTTTTTGCTTTACCTGCTCAAGGCATGTCACTGTCTTTAGGATTCCCCAGCCCTTCTCTGAGTGATTTCAGTCTCTCAGGAGGCGGCTAGTGTGCCACAACAGTCTGCCTTCAGTTAATCTCTCAAAACTGCCTGTGAAGCAGCAAACAGCCCACCCCACCCTGGAGACCCTCCATGGCAGAGGCCAGCAGTTGTGACCATCACTGGCACACAATGGGCCCTGGACAGGCTGCTTGGTGACAGATCTGCAGACACGGCCCAGGGGCAGAGCCTGGACAACCTCCTGCATGGTAAGGCCACCAGCTGTGAAAGGATTCTTGCATTTCCTCATAAAACCCAAGTATAAGGCAGACTTTCCCTGAAGCTCTCAAGTTCAGCTTAGGCTGCACTGCCAGAGGCATTTGTCAGATCAGTAAAAAGTGTTTGGATGTTGAGACTTGTTCTTAACACTTCACTTGGATCTGCTCATTGACAAGGAAAAAAAAAACCACCAAAACCACCAACTCCTCTGGTATCCGCCCAGAGCCTCCAGTGTGATTTTGGGAGCCTCTTCACTAAAAGAAATAACTTGTGGATGACTTAAAAGAGAGTCTTGTTTGAGGAGCTTATAGAAACCACACCAGCCTCATGAGCATGCAGCTCCCTCTGAGCCCAGGCTGGGGCAAGCACACAAGGCTCTGGTCAGCATCTGCCCCAGTCTGACAGGCCAGTGCTTTCCTCTGACTCTGGCACTGCACACTGGGATCAGCAAGAGCCAAGTCCAAGCCAGGCAGGACTTCAGCCTGAGCTGCACCTGGAAGGGCAGAGCAGCACCCTGCCAGCCATCACACAGAGCGGGCAGAGCAGCGACCAGCAGAGCTGCTTACGGCATCCCAGTGCCCTAACTTTGGTAGGAGTAGGAGTAGGAATAGGCTAAGACATTTAGGAGAGAGTTTCAAGGATAACCTTTGAGCAGATCACATCCAGCTGTCACTGTGCTGGCACAGATTTTTTTCTGACATTCACTGAGCACCAGAGGGACAGAATCCAAAGTTGGTCCCTGCTGGTGAAGTCATGGAAGAATCCAAAATAACTTTCTATCAGTCTGTTGATCTTTTTCATTATCTGCTGGTGAGAACCGACCCCTGCCTCTGCAGCAAGAGGCATTTCCTAAAGGAACAGGTAAGGCCTTGGAACAAGCCTCAAAGATGGCCTGTCCCCATGGCAGGAGTCAACACCTCACCCTTTATGCCAGGCAGTTCTCTGTGACAGCTCTACTCCTACAAGCTCCCTAGAGATGCTGCAGCAGTTATGGGAGCCATTCCCAGAGTAACAGAAACCAAACAGTGCTACAGCACAGAACGGGATTGATGATACAGATTTGTTCCCATGAGCCCATCAGCAGCCACATCAGAGCCAATGCAGTGATGAATGGTGCTGCCAAAACAATAGAAGGAGAACATTTCCCAGGTAAGCCCTCCAAGCATATTTGTAAAAAAGGATCTGCAGGGCAGGAGCCCCCAGTCAGCAGCACTCCACAAGAAGCTGCGATATTGGCAGCACTGCTGCCTGTCATGGAAATATCATGTCTGTCATTCATAAATCCTTTTATTTTGTTCAAATGGTCAAAATTCAACAGGGAATTCCCCAGCCTGCCCACGTGAGTACACTCAAAACTGCCAAATGCCAAAGTTACTGTTCAAAGCAGAAACTTGTGCTCCACACTGGCCAAAACCAGCCATTCCTGAGATTTACCTGCATTTCAAGCTGAAAAAACATTAGTTAAAGTAAGCAGAGCACAGTTCTGTGCTCAGGGCAGCCCTGGTTCAGATTATGTACAATGGGATGGGACCGCTGCCCATCTGTGCCCAGGCCACAGGAAGCAGGGCAAGGCAGCAGCTGCCAGCAAACCAGGAACAGTATCTCTTAACAGCAATATCACAGTGCCCACCTTGCCCTTCTGCTCCAGGGAGAGGGTTTGCTAAATGCTGCCCTTCAACAGCATCTCCCCTCAGCTGTGCTGGTGTGTGTGTGTGGTGTGCATGCACAGCCGAGTGCCAGGCGTGCACACCCATAGGCACAAACAGGGGCTGTGCATGCACCTGAGCATCCCTGCAGCATGCGGTGCAGCCAGCGGGCCCCAGGCACAGGAGCATCCTCCTGGCAAACACAAACTCGGCTACATGAAATATCAACGCATCAGCATCGCCAATGGCCGACTCCCAGGAGTGCTAGATAATAGTGACAGAAACATTAATATTTGCTGACTCAAGGGCTCCACCAGGAGGAAAAACCAGCCCAGATCATCCCCTTAGGAAAGCCAGAAGGAAGATGCTCCTCTGGCAGTCTGGGTGACCGGCAGGGAGGCCATGCTTGCTCTTTCAAAGCTTTCATCATTCAAAGACAAGGACAAGAAATGTGGTGGAAGTGGATCAGCCAGGGGCTGGCTGCAGTTCTGAGGGTGCTGCCACACTCACAGCATCCTCATCCACTGCAAAAATCTTACCAGTCCAGAAACAGTAAGAAAGAGGTTGCTAACTGCCCTGCCTTCACCTGCTTTCTTTTATTTCCCAGCAAGGGCTGGGAACACTCACTGACCTACTGCACTGGGCAGTGGCTTCACAGCCAGAGCAGAGCATTGGCAGCACAATGTCTGCCTGTGGCTGCCGATAACCAACTCGTGGGATTTGCCAGGAGACATGTCTGCTTGAATGGGAACAATGGGAAGTACAGAGGCCACTTTGGAATTTAAAAGGGGGAATTCTTCCCTTGAGCCTCAGCTCCTATTGCAGGCCTCAGAGAGGTTTCTACTCATGTGACCCTTGCAGACATGCTCTTCACCACCACATAAACACCTCCAGAAGCACCTTCTCTGTCGCACTGGTGCTAGCAAAGTCACACACCAGCCTCATTCCAACTCAGAGCACACAGACCATGCACACTGAAGGGATGCTTCACACCTTCTCCCCCCACACTCACACCATCAGGCTTTCTTAAGCTTGATGGCCACAGTGTGAGACACACAGAGCCCTCAGAGGCCCATGGAGTTTCTGCCCAGTGCTGCTGGTGGAAGAAGGCACCTTCTGCCCATCATGCCTGTCTCAAGGAGGCACAAAGAGGCTGCAGAGACAAGACTTTTGAAATTACAGCCCTGACAGTGCCTATGCAAGCAGCTGTGAAGCTGTGCCAGCTCAGACCCAGGTGACCAGTGTCTGGCTTCAGGCAGGTGCCTGGCTGGCCCCAGCTTAGGGCCCAAACCTCACAATGCTGTGCCCAGGCAGTCAGGGTGCCCGCCCCAAGGCATGATGCTCTTGATCTATCAGGTACCACCCACTGACAATATACTTTCGGAGTGCTTCTTCACTGAACCTTACAAACACCCAAAAGATTTCTCCTTGTGCCAGAAAATCCCAATTAAAAACAAAACAAAAACCAAACCCACTTGTTACAAAAAACCAAAAAAAAACAAACCTATTTCCAGGAAAGAAAGAGCAAGTCAAGAGCTCTAAAAAGTGCAAGACAATATATGGAGCACTCATAACCTTCTCCCACAATCCAAAAGCTGTGAATACTGACTTACTCTGTCACATCCCAGTTTTATCACTTTGGATTTCACAAAGAGGCAAGTAACTTGTAAATGAAGGCACGGGCTTCCCCACACTCAAAATTTTATTGAACAACACACATATTTTACACACAAATCAAGTGGGAGGCATTGTACCAGACTTTGGTATCTCATATGCATTTACAGAACCTGAGCACATTGCAGTTTCATATTAGAATATTCTCTATACTACCATCATAATTCACAAGACTCAAAATAAATGCTTTTTAGTACTTTCAGTGACATAATAGGTTCTATTACTCTAATAACAGACCCATTTACAATATTTTCTCTTTCTCCCCTATCAACTCAGTATTTCCAAAAGGCACTGAGTTTTCCCTCTGAGTCCACAGTTTTCTTGCAGTTCCAGGATGTTAGTGAGGGATATCAGTTCCAGCTTTTCTCTGTATTTTCAACGTTCCACTTTGCCCTCTTCTAAGTACCTTATGTCAAATGATGCAGGCTCTAGTAGGAAAAAAAAAATAGCTGTTCCATATCCATGCTCAGTACATACTCCTGATCTTTTACAGAGACTAAAAGAACAGAGTAAATTTTGCTGCTTATTTTTACAGCAGGGACAGTTGTTCACTAGGAACAAGGCATGGACCTGTTTCATGGAACTCAGGTACCCAGGACTAGGGCTGATCTGGGCTGGCAGGGAAATAATACTTGTGCTACCCCATCACTGATAACCCTGGGCTGTCAGTTTGGCTCAGGCCAGGTGTATCAAGCGCAGCACAAGGTATTTGCAACAGTAAGATTTACAAAAGCTCTTCCACAAATGCTGAATATTATGAAAAATTCTTGGGTTTAATAAAGCAGAACCCTTTGTCTAGCTCTTGAATATTCACTTAATCTTGGAAAAGAACAGCCTATTAATTTGCAGATAAGCCAGATACAGCTGAATAACATCCCTTCCAGCCCAAGTAGCACTACAGCGCATTAGCCACTCTTCAATTACTCCATTCTCTCCGTGTGGTACCAAAAAATTACAAACCGTTTTCAGGCACACAATCAAAAACCAAACAACAGGCCTTTGTAAGATGCTGCTACTCCATACTACTTCTGGTTTGGTTTTGAAATGCTTAATACCTTCTTTCAGAAGCTCTTCTGTGACAACGGTTCCAATGATTCACATCAAACCCGATGTACCTTCATACATAACTGGGTGCTTCCTTACAGCCCAAGTAGTCTGTTTGTAGCACCTCAAGGAATAATCCCTTGTGGTGTCTTCTCACCCCTTCAATGCACAAGTGCAACCAAGAAGGGGAGAATACCAAATCACCCAGCACAACAAGGAGAGATGGACAACACCCAGAGCTGGCTGTTTCACTGTCAGATGATTACAAATATAACTACAGATTGCTTAATAAGGCACTTGATCATTGAAGCACAGAAAAACAGGCAGCACAAGCCTAAGAACTAGGCATGTGTTTTTTCTCCACTGTTAACATGTGTGCCTTTTCAAGGACCATTCAAAGCCCACTGACCTATACAGTAACAGCTGTAAGACAGGAATCACATGTATTAATCACATGTATTTGAATTAAGTGCCTACCAAGACCCATCAGTTTTCCTGAGTAAAATTTTTTTGAGACAGAATCCAGGTTAATGGGGAGATTACACGTAATTCCCAGGTTTAATAATATTCTATAGTTCAGACCTCATTAAGGTCTTCTCATATTCAATTATTACTGTATCTGCAACAGGATGAAACAGAAGAGTTTTTACTCTATATCAAATCTATAAACATGAAAACAGAAAACAGGAGAATAATTTATAGCAACATTTTTACATGGAGTGATACCTCAGCTGGTTTTCAGATTAAAATACCATAACATGAGGTAAATATGCAGTTTGCTTTCTTAAAACACTACCAAAGTCTTAAAAAAGTAGTAGCATCCATTCCATGTCATTTTTAAAGACAGCATTGACAGCAGATGAATCAAGGGAATCTTAAAAAGGCCATAATTTTACAAAGCCATATAAAGTTTTTACAAATTATCCCCCTTTTTTTTCAAATGACACAGAGAGAAATATATTTACTCCTCTGACAAACAACATGAAAACTCAGGAAAAATATCCCAGTACACCTCTGATTTCATGAGAGGAAATTAAGTCAACTTCACAGCATAAAGAGAGATGAGGAGAGGGAAACAGTCACCATTCATTTGTCAATTTGTCAAAAATCTGCATCCAGAGTGAAGACATTGTCCATTGTTTCTGCCATAACAGCAAAACGTTGATATTCCGAAACCCGCTTCTCAAAGAAATTTGTTTTTCCTTCCAGAGAAATATTCTCCATGAAATCAAAAGGATTTTCTACATTAAAGACCTGGGGAAGGAAAACACATAATAATGCTTTAAAAACCCCACAGCAAGCAAAACTGTCAAACTCTTTCAAACTAGACCACCTCTGCCTGCAATATCCTGCAGGATCTATGGACCCCTATCTAAGCAAATTCAGTAGTGCCACTCCCAGGAGATCAGCCTTCACTTGTGCAAGGTGCTTGTTATTCTTCAAGCACTGCAGCACCTGAGCACAGCTTACGTTTCCCATTACAAACCTGCTGAGCAGCTGAAGGGAAACAAAGGCCTGAATTGTTCTTGCTCTTTTACAGTGAAGCATAGGTATGACTGCTGTGGTTTCAGCTGTCACTCACAGGAAGTCCATGTGCTAAATATGACCTGCTTCCCAGCATGACAAGGGAGTGCTTTGTGCTGGCAGTGCTCCTGGGCTGCACTGGCAGGTCAGCATCTGGGGCAACTGCATCTCTTACCTTTGAGAACCCAAGCTCCATTAGTAACCGGTCTGCAACAAATTCAATGTATTGTTTCATCAAGGTGCAATTCATTCCAATCAGACCTACAGGTAATGCCTCAGTTAGAAACTCCTAGAAGTTAAAATACAGATGACATTTAGAATAAAACTTAAGAAAAAAAGGAGACAAGACACCTGTGTTTCAGAGTAACATACTCTGTGATGTTTCACGCTCCCCAGGAAGTTGTCTGAATAAATAACTCGCATCACTAAATTCAACAAATATCTTCTGTTTTCAGTAACTGTTTGTATCTTCCTTTATTTTTAGCCTGTTACTCTGGAAAAGGCACAAGTTTTTTATCACTGCCCCTCCACTGCCTTTTTCCAATCCCCCAGAATTCACTTCTATGTAAGCTTAAGCTCCAACTTCAATAAATCTATGGACCATAGTAGTGGGAGCAGGGATAGAGCAAGAAATCACCAGTTTTCCTGGCTTCCAGCCACTACAGAATGACAGATCAGAGGGCAGCAATATATATGAGTGCTGAACCCAGTCATGTGTATATTCAGGCACCAATGCATCCCTGTCAGTGCTGTGAGACAAAGCAGGAGCATTTGTCATCATCATAGTAGTTAGGTAACAACAGGAATGAAAGCTAAACTAAAATCAACATGACCAAAGACTCAGCCATGCAGAAACCTGTGCCTGCAGAAGGGCAGCACTTCACATGAAAAACCTGACATCAACCACAAAAAAAGCCAGAAGACAGCATGATATTTGTGGCCAGAGCAGACCCTGTCTTCTCCTGAGGAAAAGCAGAGATGTGAATACAATAGGGAGAGACAAAGTACCTGAAAGGACAGATGTAAACAAACTCCTCTCTAAGAGACAGCTACAGTTAGACTACATGATTATTGTAGGTCCCTTCCAACTGTAACTATTATATTCAATATCAAATAAGTCAGCTTTTCTTCCTTTCTGTCATTAAGGAGAAAACCAGCTGCCACCTTCAGCTTGCCCCAGTTGTTTAATAATTGAATCAGAAAGTCTCTGATTCTTATTGTCACCATTAATGAAGAGGGAAAGAATGGTATAACGCATCAGGAATCAAGCCTGAGCCAAGTATCAAACATGGAATCCCAAAGTTAGAAGTTAACTTGTTTATTTTCACATCTCAGACTGAGCCCATGCTGCCCACAATGTTGCCACAACCAGGATTACCTGCTCAATTTCTACAGCATTAACGATGATCTCACAGACTCGCTCTTCTGACGGTCTGTTCACTAAATAATGGAACATTAGACAAGCAAAATCACAGTGCAGACCCTGAAATAAGAGAACAGTGAAAAAAACAGTCAGTTTTCCCCTCTTCCCCATAGTTTGCTCTTATTTTCAGGCAGTCTCATTTGTGTTGAAGTTTCCCAGCCTCCTGCTTTTATGAAAGTCTTAATGTTATCACACGTAGTGTGGACTTGTAGTTTACAACCCAGTAACATCTCAAATCACATGCTACCTGTGCCAAAATGATGTTCAGCATATTATGTTTCTCAGGTAAAATTTTTCTGAGGGCTGCTCCAAGAGGCACCTTAGCTTTTCTTTAACTTGCCTGGGTACAGCTTGATGGTCTTGCTTCAGCCGTACCTACCACTGCCAGCCTAAAGGACCACTGTGCTACCATCTCTCCTCTCAACTGAAGGTAGTGATTACAGCCAATAAATACCAAGAGGGCACATCCAGAGTGAAAACCAATCAGAAAGAATTTGGCAGACTATGGGCTACAAGACAATCTAATATTATCATTAACAAGGGTCAAACAAAACCTGGGGGCTGACCTACTAGAGGGGTGTTCTGCTGCAAAAGACCTGGGAGTCTCAGTGGGAAACAAGTCCACTGAGCCAGCAGTGCTCTTGTGATCAGAAGGGCCAAGGGGATTTCAGGGTGCATTGGGAAGAGTGTGGCCAGCAGGTCAAGGGAGGTGATCCTCTCCCTCTGCCCATCCCTGGTGAAGTCACAGCTGGACAGCTGTGTCCAGTTCTGGGATCCCCAGTATGGAAGAGACAAGGAGCTACTGGAGAGGGTCCAGCAGAGGTCACAGAAATTATGAGGGGTCTGGAGCATCTTTTTCATGAGAAGAGACTGCAGGAGCTGGGCTTGTTTAGTCTGAAGAAGAGAACACTGAGAGGAGATCTCATTAATGCATATAATTATCTCAAAGGTGGTGTCATGGCTTAGGAATGGTGCTCCCCAGTTCAGTGCCCCACCAAGACTCTCCCAAACCACTTGCTTGCTCCCTGCCCTCACCAAGACACCCCTGGCTTCCCTTGCCCCTTCCTAGTCTGTGAATAGAGGCACAAAAGGTGAAAATCACAGGATGGATTAGAATAATTTACTGGAAACAAGAAGATAATGAAAAGAACAGTAACAGCATTATGAACAACAAAATGTGTAAGATGAAGCTATTTACATGAAAAACCCACGACAAATACCCACCTGCTCTTCCCAATTACATTTTTTCCCACTGGAAGGAACACCCTTCTTAAAAGCAGGAGAGGGAGTTCCTTTTCTCCACCCCTGTCAATGACCTGAGATGATACCCAGTAACATTAAGGTCTTAGCCACACAGCTCCAGGCTCTAACCTCTCACAACTACTGTAAAAAATTAACCCTCTCTTTGGCTGAAGCCAGGACAGGTAGGTGCCAAGAGAATGATGCCAGATTCTTTTCAGTGGTGTCCAGCAACCACTGGATGAGGAGCAATGGCTGTAAACCAGGATGAGGAGCAATGTAAACCACTGGATGAGGAGCAATGGCTGTAAACTAAAACACAAGATGTTTCACCTCAATATAAGGAAGAACTTCACGTTGAGTGTGACAGAGCACGGGAACAAGCTGCTCAGGGTGATTGCAGAGTCTCCCTCTCTGGAGACATTCCAAACCCACCTGGACATGCTCCTGTATCACCTGCTTCAGGTGACCCTGCTTGGCAGGGTGATTGGACAGGATGATTTCCAGAGGACCCTTCCAACCCTAACGATTCTGTGAAAACCTTTTTGGAAAGGCTATAAAATCCTTGTGATTAAGGTCATGAAATAGCCCTGAAGTAATGTAATTTGGGAAATATCCCCACCTCTAGTGACCACATTAGCTGCCTGCTGCAAGGCTTCCCATGGTCTTAATCCAGGGCAACATCACCAGCAGGATGCAGGACATGCCTGGCTTCTCCATGAAATGGTGTGCTCTGCTGACTGGTGCTCCCACCAGCTTTGCACCTTTAAGTATCAGAGATGCACCAGCTCAAGAACAGCCTGGGAACAGAGACAGCAGCTCAAAAAACACACTGAGAGTTGATAATTTATCTGTCCAGGTGCATCAAAAACCAGTTTGTAGTTTTCCATTGTGGATTCTTTTTACTGCCACTAGGTTTCAATGCAGGTGTTCTGTGCACCAAGCTTTAACCTTCATAACAGCACTGCAGTTGGAATTATGCCAGCAGAGTTCAAAAAAATTTCAGTCTTTTGGTGCTTGACTGCAGAAAAGTACAGTTACATGCACTCACCTGCAAGTGATCCTTGTAACAAATCCTGCCTCTCTCATATGGATCAGTTCATGATGACTCACAGAAGATACAAGGAAGTTGAAGGCTGTTTTTCCTTACTCATCATATCACTTTCTTCAAAAGTATCTTTTAGACATATCACGTCTCATTTCAAAGCAATTTATCTAACATACAAAAATCACCTCCATTATAGAAAAGCTCTTTACACATTAAGAGCAGCTCTGCTAAGTTACAACCACTAGTATGTTTATACTGCATACAAAACTGGTCTTTCTACTTTTTCAGTGCTGACAGTGACATAAGTAGTGCAGTGCACAGTCCCCAGCCGTAAACAACAGCCGCCAACTTGCAGGAAGCAAGGAAAAAGAAAGGAAGGAAGCAGTGAAAAGAAGGGGCCCTTGTAAACACATGGTCTGTCATATTTGGTGTGCTGACAGGCAGCCCCTCAGACACCTCAAATCTAAAGTTAAGATTCAGTCTCCTAAAAGGCAGATCTGTAGTTGCCCCTCCCAAGAGATTCTACTGCTGTGCAGCAACACAAGACCATGGAGAGGAGTGGTATCTGCTGCTTCTGCAGCAACCTACCACATCTGCCACAGTGATGGATGCAGGTGGCTGTCTGAAGCTCTGGTGGAGAGTGGTACTTGGAGGTCACCTGAACCTGCCTGAAGTAGCTGAAACACAGCAAGTCTCAGAGTCACACACTATCCAGGTCCTTGCTCCAGCCAGCCCCCCGCTACAGCTGGGGACCATGCAATTCCACCCCACTCCTTAAGCAGCTGGGCCTCTGCCTCCCTTCACAGCAGAGGAAAACAAACATCCAAAGCTAGTGAAGGGTCTGGAGCACCAGTCTTAGGAGGATTAGCTGAGGGAGATGGGAGTGTTTATGCTGGAGAAAAGGAGGCTCAGGGAGACCTGAGCTCTCTACAACTGCCTGAGATAAGGTTGTAGTGAGGTGTGGGTTGCCCTCTTCTCCCAAGCAACAAGACAAGAGGAAATAGCCTTAAGCAGGGGATTAGATTTGATACTACAAAAAACTTCATGGAAATTGTGGTCAATGGAAGGTATTTAAAAGACATGTGAATGTGGCACTTAGGGGCATGGTTTAGGGGGGGACTTGGCAGTGGCAGGTTAACAGTCTGATTCAGTGATCTTAAAGGTCTTTTCCAATTTAAATGATTCTATGATTCTGTGATTTTTGGTAAAAGTCTGCTTTTTTCCCCTTCCTCTGACAAGACTATGGGTTCTTCTTAAATATAATTGTACCCTTGCCCTGGAAACTCACTTTTCTTCCCAAACAGTATGTAGGATATGCCACATTACCTCATCTCTGCTAATAAGTTCATTGGAGAAAGTCAATCCAGGCATTAGGCCCCTCTTCTTCAGCCAAAATATAGCAGCAAAGGAACCCGAAAAGAAGATGCCTTCCACTGCAGCAAAGGCAACCACTCTCTCACCTGTTTAACATAACACATTTTTCATTAGACACAAATTGCTCTACTGCTCATCAGCAAGAGGTACCATTTGCATCAGACAGCGATGCTGGAGAAAAGCAATCCCCTTTGCAGCACCAGATGCTGTCTTTGACCACATCTCTCAGCAGATCCTGATGTACAGAGGGTCTACACACCCCACAGCACTCAGCCAGAGGCAACCCCAGCAGAACTGAAGAACCAGGGCACCCACTGAAACCGACACAGGTCCGAAGCAAAATAAGGCAGTTGTCCAAAGTGGCCAAGACATTAATTAGTACTCCATTATCTCTTTCTCCTGAAAGCCAGGAAAGCAGCTGTGTACCTGACAGCCAAAACTGAGAAAAGTGCCAATCTCTTCTAAATTAAACAAAAAACCCTACACCACAATTTCTTCTTGTTGGGAATCTACATAAAACTATATATTCTTAAAAGAGCACATATTCTTAAAAGAATGAAAGTCTACAGAACATAAGTCAAGACACAAATAACTACTTGTGTTATTCCATGTCTAATCATAGGAAAGCAAGGCATTATTGGTCCCAGTTCTCCCTATTCTCTATATGAATGTATTTCTTCAGACTACAAGACCATCTGACTATTTAGGGAAGCCACACCACTACATGTACACTACTTGAACAACTTCACAGGCTTATTGTGTACGTTCTGACATGAAGAGCTTTGGTACTAAGTTCTGGTTCCTTTTCCCAATAAGAACTGCATAGAATTTTGTTAAAAAAATAACCCGAAGTAGTCAGATGTCCCACTTCCTCTATGACATACAAATGTCCACTTCTGGCTCATCTGAAGAAATTCAAATTAGGAAAAAGCACAGAGAGCAATACCAACTTACAAGTATCAGAGAAGTTATCAAAGAAAGAATTTTTCTGGCAACACTAAAAATCTTGTAGGTTACTGCTATAGAGGAATGGAGAAAGGCTGCTTAAAAATATAGGTTTAATGAAGCAGAAGACTGATTACTTATTTGGATAAAATGCATTAAGTTTGGGGGCAGGGAGCAGGGGGCACACTGCTTTTTGAGTAAGGGAACTTTCTGATTCCTGGCACACCCCACACTGCTGGGAGCCAAACAAAGGGAAGATGAAGGGGTTTCACACACAGCAAGCAAAGCCAGACTGGGGAGGCAGTGGGAGCTCCACGACAGAACAATGTACAGCTACAAAAATAACCCCTCTCAAACAAGAGCTGTGAACAGATGCTGCTAAAGAATTATGTTCAGATTTATTTTGTTCACCAGGCTGAATCTCTCTATCTCTTGCACTTTCTCAAAATATAGAGGATGTTTACTTAAAAAAAATTCACCAGAGTGCACCCATTATGCATTTCAGCTACAGCAAACCCTTCCAAGTCTACACTGTAAGAATGCAGAACACTTCTAAGGATGCCCTGCACCATGCTGATGGAAGCTGAGCCACTGTCCCGGCTCTGAAATGAGATACAATAATTAGAAACCCAGTCCAAACAGCAAACCAGAAACACCAGAAATAGATGGTTCTTGAATCTTTTTTGTCCCGGCTCAGTCATGCCTCAGTTACAAAAAAACACCAAGGATTTCTATATAGGAACATGAACACAGAAAATACCTGGACTTACAAGAACTTCACCTGTCCAGTTCTGAACACTGAGTAAAAAATAAGAACCAACTAGAAGAAAACTAGAATATAAGGTCTACAAGCAAAAATTGAGGAAACCAGGGTAATTCAGTATAAAGACAAAAAAACAAAAAAACAAAAGACAGAGCATTTTTCATAACATGATTTCAGGGGGCACTGCCATTTCTTTATTTCTCTACCTGAAGATAAAAACATATATGCTCACCATAATTTACTTCTAATTCTTTCACTAAACCAGAGACCCACTACATCTGTGGAGAATTTCATTTCATGTTCCAGGGGATCAGCTTACTCACAGACAGTCAGTTTGTGATACGCAATAGAAACAAGTTTATAAAAAGCTACACACCAAAAGTGGATTCTCTGTCTTCAATCCACTTCAGAGCCCAGTCTGCTTTCTTCTTAACACAAGGCATTGTTTCAATAGCATTAAATAAGAAATCCCTATAGAAGAAAATGAGACAAAACATCAAAATAATGATTTAGGTAAATGTACTCTGGTTGTCCCTTCCTGCTCCACCAGACAGAGGATCCCATTATGCAAGGCTCTCAACTAACCCAAGTAAGAGACCTATCCCAGCCCAAAGAGGTGATGATCTGTCCTATTTTTGTCTGGGATAGAGTTCATTTTCTTCCTGGTTGCTTGTACAGTTCTGTGTTTTATATTTAGAATGAGAATTATGTTGATAACATACTGATGTTTTCATTGTGGCAAAGCAGCGTTTACACAAAGTCCAGGACTCTTCAGCTTCTAACCCTACTCCACCAGTGAGCAGGCTGGGGGGAACAGGAAGCTGTGAGGGGACACAGCCAGGACAGCAGATCCCAAATGGCCAAATGGATATTCCATACAATGTCATGCTCAGAATACAAACTAGGGAAAAGCTGGCCAGGGGCCGCTTTTGGGAACTGGCTGAGTATCAGCCAGCAGGCAGTGAGCAACTGCATTGTGTATCACTTCTTCTTCTTCTTCTTCTTCTTCTTATTATTATTATTATTATTATTATTATACTATTTTCCTGTCCTATCCAGCTGCCTTTACCTCAAACCACCAGTTCTACTTGTCTCCCTGATTCTCTCCCACGCCACTGGGCAGGGGCAGGCAGTGAGTGAGCTGCTGTGTAGTGTTAGCTGCCTGCCAGGTTAAACCACGATGTGATCTGTGATAAAAAGAGCAGAGGGAGGCAAATGTGCAGAAAGCAGCATCTCCAAGGGCTCAGGGAAGGAAGGCTGTGAACAAACACATTCCATTCCAGCAGTGCTCACACACCAGATCACAGTCTCTCTCTGAACTGAAGACAGCTACTTCAGCCTATCCACAGAGCAAAACCTCATCTTGCCCAACTCCACAAAAGAAACTGAACAAGTTCCACATGCACAGACTCTGTTCCTATGCTGAAAACCTGAAAGGAAACCTTTCAGTCCTCCCACCATCATCAACACATGACGATGGGAAAGCAAGCTCTGCCTGACCATTACCATGGGGGAGTCTCTGAGGGAAAGTGCTGCTTTTCAAAAGTATTCTGTTTGGACTAGGAAGTTCTTCAGACAAAAGGTGAACTCAATAATTCAAAAATAAGCAGTTCAAATTGTATTAAAAAGCACTGACAACACAAAGGCTGAAAGGATGCAATACATTGATTGTTGCATATTAGAAACCACTTTAATCATGAGCACTCAATTTCCTCAGGTTGATCCTTTGCTGATGTAAAAACAAGTACTGCAGGAGCACGATAACCTCAAGGAGCTCATCTAACCTTTAACATTTCACATACTCCATGCTTCCAGCAATAAAAGATTTATACAAATATTAACTAACCTTCTGATACTCCCACAATAAGCCTTGGTCAGTAATACTACTCTCCATTTTGGGGGTCAGACATGCAGGTCTTGAAAGGTTTAAGGAACTTTCCCCAATTCCCCCAGAAAGACAGTATGAAAACAGGAGACAGCTGCCATGCTGCCCTACAACAGTGGCACTGTCTTCAATGACAGATTTCCCACAGGTTTGTAACACATCCAGAGGTTTACCTTTTCTTGGGATCTTTGATGTAGGTGTCTATGAGCAAGCTGTACATCTCTGAGTGAACATTCTCAATGAGAATCTGAAAGCCATAGAAACAGCGAGCTTCTGGGATCTGCACCTCCTGACTAAAACGTGCCACCTGCCAAAACCAGAAAGCATTCAGTTAGTACAATAAAACAGTCCTGCATGACACTACTCCGAGCTCAACAGGAGAGACATCAGATCTCTGCTACAGAGACAGGATGGGAGCAGTTCTGTCCTACTTTGTTCACAGATATGTCAATAGGATAGTTGTGGTGCAGAGGTAAATAAAGCAAGCTAGCCAGAAGTAAATACATCTAAGAGCTGAAGCATGAGGGCACATGTACACAGGAAAAGAACAGCAAAATAATGCAGTACTAAACACTTAGTACTGAACAAAGCCACAGACTTTGTGTTCATCATTAAAAATACAAACAGCATGACATAAGGCATGTTCATGCAATACATGTACATATACACTGCATGATATAAACATTCAAATATTTGAGATTTAAACTGGGCATTTGCAGACAAATACCACTGCTAACCTGTGATGAGATATTCTCCAGCCCAGAACAGATATCAGCAAGAAGAATTCCTCATCTTTTTAGCAGCACCCACCTGCAGCCCTAAGAGATTCTAGGATGCTGTTCAGTGAGAACAAAACAGATTTTACCAAAATGAGGAATACATGGTACAGCCATGGTCTGTATTCCTTACTTTTCAATTAACATGAGTACAGAAAAATATGGGGTTACATTAATTCATTCAGAAATGCACATCCCACAGCCAGGCAGGGGCTGAACGTAAAAACAGTGTTCCAGAGTGATGTGATTTGGAGCCCTGATGACCACAGTTGACCCAATTTAACCCAAACACTGTTCCCAGACTAACAAGCTGCTTGTTTCACTTGAAAAAGGTGAGATGGAAAGAAAAAAAAGTACACATTTAAAAAACCTATGAACTAATGTGAAAAAGCTGAAATGGAGAGTTAATAAGATAATAACATGACTAAGTATTCAAGCACTCTGTAGGTCTTTCTCACCAGGTTTTCATTTACAATTCCATCACTGGCTGCAAAAAATGCCAGAACATGAGAGATAAAGTATTTTTCATCTGCTTTCAGCTTGTTCCAATGAGGAAGGTCCTTTGACAAATCAACCTAATGAAAAGAAAAAGGAAAACATTGTCCTTCTGCATTTGTCATTCTGTAAAAACAAGCAGCCCAGTCAAGTGACTGAGGCAGAGTTTTGGCATTTGCTTTCAAATCTTTACATGTAGGGAATTTAATTACTTGTGACTGTAAAAGACAACAGAGACACTGCAGAGCTGTTGTTTCTCTCTGCAACAATAACATCATGTACTTGTTTCACAGTTTACACTTTTATAAACTGGAATAAAAATTGGTGTCTATTGAATAAATAAATGAGATTTTGAAAAGCCTTAGTATCTTTCTGTCACAAGTATGAACACACACCAGTAACCAGACCTCATTCTGAGACACTTAAACTTTACTTGAAATAAATGCTGATACCCCAAGAAAGCTACACCAAGCATGTCAAAAGATGGACTGAGGGGACTTCTGCCTTTGGCAGGTGTTCAGCCTCCATGTTGTCAAAGAATGGTATGAAGCAAATGCTGTGCAACTGCTCTTGTCTATCAGACCAAACCCCAGCCATGAGAGAAAACCACAGCTTCCTTCACATGGCACTTTTTTGTTTGTTTGTAGGTTTTCTGAACCAAAACAGCACTAACGCAGAGTTAGATGTGAAAAATGCAGAAGACCTACAGATGGTAGGACAGTGTAAGAAGGAACCAGCAATGTAGTAGGGAAATGCTGGCAAGGCAGGAGTTGGAATGCTTTTTCTTTAATGGTTTAAATGAAGATCTGCTGCAATAGGGCAGCAAGCTGCCCAGCCAAGTAATGAAATACCGCCTCCACAAAAATCAGTTCCTCATCATCCCATGATGCTTTCTGGTCTATTTAGAGCCTGCCAGTGCTTTCAGCTTACTCTTCTGCAGTTGCAGACCACTGCCCACAAACAAGCTCAGGTCTAGCTAACCAGCACCCACGGGGGAAAACTTAGAGCTTGCAATGTAACATGGGGCAAGCACCTCACCAGGGCAATCAGGAGTCAGCTAAACACATTTTCAGTAAAACTAACACTATCTGTCTGGATATTTAGGTACCTAATATTAAGGAACGGCATGAAATTTCCCACAGCATCTTACTCCTTACATCAGGAGTCAGCTGCAGGTTTATAGACCACAGCACGGTAGGAGCTATCTGACCACGAATTAGAGCAGTCTGACTTAGGATTTCTCCATAACCAGGGAAGCACTCCAGGACACAATTCCACCTCATCCTAAACTAAGCACCTAAACCAGTCTGCTGAATCACCCTGTGGAAGCAGCTTGCTTTCCACTGTTGATGAAGGGAGTTCTGCTTTGGTGCTGGCACCTGATGTTTGATGAAATTAACTCCAACCTTTGCAACACAGAAACCAGCAGCAGAGCTAGGAAAGGTGTGCCAGGACCTTGGTGGTCTGACTGCCTTTTGCCAACCTACTGGCCCAGGGCTCACCTCTTCTGCTGTCCAAAAGGAGGCCTGAGCCTGCTTATACATCTTCCATATGTCTGGATATTGGATCGGGAAGATGACGAACCGGCGGTGATTTTTTCTGAGTAGAGGCTCTTCATCAAGGTCGGAGCCATTTTCAGCAGCACTTGATGAGCTCTGAAAATAAAGCACAGCTCTGGTTAAAGTTACCACTATTTACTCCTCCTCCTCACACTATCCTGAAAGTGTGGTCTGAAGTTGAGCCGTGTCACAGAGACTCTCACCTGGTCCCCTGGGGTACATGTGCCCTCGCCCTCCATCAGCGCTCCCGGCAGCGCTGCCCACCCACCCGCTCTGCCCAGCACAGCTCTCACCAGCCCCCAGCCCCCTCCCAGCCCTGCCGGCACCAGGAAATGCCTGTGTGCCACAGACAAAGCCTTCTGCAGCACTGGGGGGAAGTCTGCCCTGGAGACATCACCCACTGCGGTCCCACACGCGGGGAGACACCAGCACAGCTGCCACCAGCACAGCTCCACCACGCTCACTGCCCAGGCACCTCCAGCCATTAGGACCTGGATGGACTGCCTTAAGAAAGCCATGACACTGACACTGCTGTAGAGGATAACTAACCACAGGCAGTGTACAAGGTGTCCCATATAATACAGCAGAGAAGGGGAGCTGAAGGTTTTGAACACTATTATTTCTACCTTCCACAGGTATCTGTAAGTCCTTTCCCTACCCAGTCTGATTTTAACTACTCATAATAAAAAGCATTCCTTTACTTCAATTTGGAAAATATTCTCAAACAAATAATGCCATTCAGATTTTAAAAAACAAACAAAACCCAAACATATGTGCACATTGCATAGCTGGCATAGATACCCCAGATACCCCCAGTGAATACATCACTGAAACATGTTACAATTACAATTCTACCCCTTTATTCTATTTTAAAATATTATCCAATTACATGATACAGATTGCATCATCTTGCAGACTCTCTGCTGATGGCCATGAGAGTTGAAGACTTTTTTTACTTCCCAGGACATAGATGATTACAGTAACTCACTGGAATTGGGAGAATTTGGGGTTGGCAGGTTCAGCATCTTGTCTTAGCACACACCTGCTCAGGGCCTGGCATCCAGCCAACTCCATCTGGTTTTGTACCAGCTGACATCCTTGCAAATGGAAACACTGCAAAAGTCTTCCCTATTATCCCAGCCACTGCTGGCTCATGGGCAGCTTGTTGTCCTGCAGGACCCCCAGATCCTTCTCCACAGAGCTGCTTCCCAACAGGTCACCCCCATCCTGTATTGGTCCCAGGGTTATTCCTCCCCAGACCTGCATCTGTCTTTGCTGAATTTCAGACTATTCCTCTGCCCATCTCTCCAGCCTGCCCAGGTCCTTCTGAAAGGCTGCCCAGCCCTCTGGGGTATCGGCTGCTCCTCCCAGCTTTGTGCCACCAGTGAACTTGCTGAGGAGGCTTTTGCCCTTTTCATCCGAGTTACTGATGGATAAGTTAAAGAATACTGGGCCCAGCATTGAACCCTGGGGGACACAACCAGTGACAGCCCTGAAACTAGACCAGTGCTCAATCCACCTCACCATCCACACATCCAGCTCACACTTTCTGAGCTTGACTATGAGGGTACCATGGGAGACATTGGCAAAAGCCTGGCTAATGCCCATGTAGACAAAATCCACGCTCTCCCTTGTCTATTCAGCCAATTGTCCCATCACAGAAGGTAATCAGATTGGTTAAGCACAAGTCCCCTTTGGTGAATCCATGGTGGCTACTCCTGATGACTGTCCTGTCTTCACATGCGTAGATGGACTGCAGGATGAGCCATCCCATCATCTTTCCAAGGATTCAGGTGAGGCTGTCTGGACTGCAGTTTTAAAAATAGTACCAGTATCTTGTTAAATAGATGGTTTTGGTTGTTTGGAGTTTTTTAATTTTAAAAAAGGAAAGGTCAGTCACAGAGGCTACACCATACCGGAACTTCCTCCTCAACCTATATCCACCTCCCTTATCAACTTCATGGGTTCAGAGGAGTTTCACAGGCAGGCTCTGTGAAAGGAGCCTTTCACAGGCTCTAAATTGGCAGGCAGGCAGTGGCTACAAAACAATCCCATCTTCTCTAACTCAGTTTCAAGGTGTGTGGCACACTCTGATCACTGCTGAGGCTTCTGAACAGTCACCACTTTGTTCTGAAGGAGCATGATGCATTCCCTGCTTTGCCTTCCTGGATCCAGGGGCACTGGCAGGAGTGTGAGAGACAGGAGAAGGTAGAAGTCACAGGTCAACATTACCTTCAATCTGCACCCCAGATCTTTTTCTTAATGCTATGATGATGCATAAAACAGTCAACATTCACCATAATGATAAAGGCACCCAGTTTATAATATGTACATGCTTAGTTCTGTTCAGACAACACGATCCAAACACATAAAAGAGGTGAAGCTGGTGGGCATGGGCCAACCCTTGCACCAGCAGGGTCAACCAGATGAGGCTTCACTATCTCCAAGGATGGAGACTACACAGCCTCTGTGAGCAACCTGTGCCAGCATCTGAGCACTTTCAGAAAAAACAAGTGTTTTCTCATACGTAAATGCAACCTCATACTTCAGTGTGTTACCAATGCCCCTGGTCTCACCATGGGGCACCACTGAGAAGAGCCTGGCTCTGTCTCCTTTATTCCCTCCACTAGGTATTTTCACCCACTCACAAAATCCCCTGGAGTCTTCTCCAGAGTGACCAGTCCCAGCACTCATGGCCTCTCTTTGTATAACAGATGCTGTAGCCTCTTAATCATCAGCCCTTTGCTGGACACACTCCAGTACATCACATTCCAGTTATTCTGCAACTGTGAGAGACAAGCTCTTCTGGTGATGACAATAAAGCAAATGGACAACAAAAACTGCTTAGGGGTACTGAAACACCTTCCATTAATTTCAAATTCAACAAACTAGGAAATTATTAACAAACAAGGAAACAAACTAGGAAATAATTAACACATATACACACCCATCACCCCACAGCTACAGCTGCTGGGCTACATGTGCAAGCATCGCAGTTACATGCCCTACATCAGCTGTAGGTAGGTACAAAGCTAAAGGTGCTGGCAGAGCCAGCAGTGTGATGTGGAACATACACTCCATGGTATGCGACCACGAACCCTCACACACCCTAGTAAGAAGCTGCACGTGCATCCCACGAGCTTCCAAAGCATTCAGGCCAGCCCTGGGCAGCACAGGTCATGCCAGCAGGGAGACTGGGAAGAGCATCACCATTCCTGGGAGAGATGGCTTGCACTGCACAGCGTCTGAGGAGCACAACACCTGCTGGTTCCACATGCTTGAGGGGATCCAGGACTACCACGCACTTCACTATGGGTACAGCATGTCACTGTTCCAGGGGACACAGTAAGGGGTTTCTTACACTTGTATTTAACATGGCACACCTGCTTTTGGGTATTTGAGAACTGATGAGACACAAGGGTTCAGGAAGAACACGTTCGTTTCCCTGCCATGGTGATCCTTTCCCCTCGCACACCTCAGCCTGGTTTAGCAAGGTTACACTGGGGGGACACCAGAACGTAGCTCAGACGCCTCCCGGGTCAGACCTTCCCGGTCCATAGGGCCTGGGAAGCCGGGAACATCACCAACACCCACAGCTGCCGCCACAGCAGCCCGGGGCAGAGAGAACGAGCTCTGCCTTCACGGTCCCGGCAGGCGCAGAGTCCCCGGGCGGCGGTGCCCGGCCCCGGCCCGCATCTCCCGCAGGCGCTGCCAGCGCTCCCCGGGGCCCGAGCGGCCCGGCCCGGCCCTGCCGAGCCCGGCGGGACAAGGGCGCGGGGGGACGGCTCCGTGTCCCCTCCAGGGCTGTCCGAAGCAGCGGTGCCCGGTGCCTCCCCGCGGCGGCCCGGCCCGGGGGGCGGGGAGGCGGCGGGCCCCGGCCGGGCAGGGCTGCGCCGCCGCCGTCCTCGGAGCCCCCGCCCGGCCCGGCCCCGCTCCCCGCCCGGCCCGGCCTTACCCGCTCCGGGCCCGCCGCCTCGCCCCGGCGCTCGCCCATGGCAGCGGCGGCGCAGGAAGGGGGAAGAGCCATGGCCGAGGCCGCTCCGCCCCCGGGGAGGGCGCAGCAATTGCATAACAAACACCGCGCGGCGCTTGCAGCTGCTGGCTGAGAGCCCGTCGGCGACAGCGCTGATTGACACTTGTTTTTCTCCCTTGCAAGCAGAGAGAGCTTCAAAAGATTCAGGTGTCCCCTTTCCAGAAAGGTAACTCTCGCTGCTGCTTTAAGAATTCGTGCGCCGTTAAGAACTTTGGGTATTTTTTTTAAAGGCACCTGGCTGCCACAGCGACAGAGACTTCCCCTCTCCATTCCCAAGCACGGGAAGGTGGAGTCAGGCCAGCTGGGCTCCTCTGGACCGCACCTTTTCCTGGCTTTATGCCTTGTGAGAGACGCCCAAGCCTAGCCAGGGCAGGGGATAAGAAAAGTTCCGTGGTGAGATCTGTGACTAAGCACAAGAACAGCTCTGGTTTTCTTACATGGAGTTTTCTGAGGAACAGAAACACATGTCTGAGCAACGACTTAAAGGCACGCAGGAACACAGAAAAAGTAAATGAGAAAAGGTGTATTCACATTAACAATATCTGCTGTTACCTGAGTACTGTTATTTCTGAGACATCCTTAAAGTTTTATTTCCCAGAGATACTTAGACAAGCTGCTTAATCTTTACATCCAACAACAGCTCCACTCATTTCAAGTACATTGGACTAGCAGGGATTCCAGTTTTTTGTCTAGAGCAATTAGAGGAACACTGACTGATGTAGAGCAAACCCAACTGACCCATTTACAGAGAGAGTCTATTGGTGTTTGTAATACAGAATTTGCTCGTGGTTCAAAGGGGGAGATGCACGAATCTGTGGAACAAAATCCAACAAGCAGCAGACTATCCATATTAAATGACATTGACTGGTCTACCAGTTGTCTTAGCCCCAAAATCTGATTGTCATGGCCACTGTTTCAGAGTTCCCTAAATAAAGAAATGCCCTGTCCTGCCAGGGAAGAAGATCTACCATAAATTAATATAATTAGTAATAGAAAATTGTTCAAGTATTTGGAGATAAATTCTTAAACACCTGCCCTTATGTCTACTTATATGGTGCCTAATGATGCACAGAAAAATATTTGAAAGGATTAACCAAACAGCATGTGGCTGTTCTTACACCTCCACAAAAATCTGCCACCTTCTGTTGGCTTTGTTTTATAAAAAATAAATCATGTATACAACACTGAAATACAGACAAGCACATACAAATGAAATACAGCATTATGCACAAATTTATTACTCAGCTGTACCTACAATATCCTATTTAGGTGATGGAAGCTGTACTCCTCCCTTAGTTCCTCACAAGCTGCAGCAGCTGTCCTGCTATGGCAAATGTTTTAACCGTCCTACCTCTTTCTTCCCTCCCCCAAAAGGTGTTACTTTTGGGGGGAATACTCAGCTGCCTTTTGCAATGGGTTATGAGTCTAATTTTGTATATGAAAATGTCATTTCAGGTAAATTGAAGAATTTTCATTTATAAACTAAAGTGAAATCTGCTTTTCAGCTTAGCACTGTTCCCTCTCAGAAAATCAGTTTGTGAATTATTTCAGTATGTCTAAAGCCTAAAATTTCTTTAAGTCTCCTTGAAGCCTCCGTGCAGAGAAACCTTACCATAGGTTGTGGCAATAATCTATTTTCCAACATGAGTACAGTATTCAAGCACACTCATTTGGTCAGCTGCCACTGGACAAAGGGATACTGAAGAGTTTCACCATTACGGAAAAGTCCTGAAACACCTGGGAGCAACCAATTGCCTCTTGTTATACTAAATAGTCTATTACTATAATAGTAGTTTGTGGTGGTAATAGAAAAAAAAAAACCAAACCTTTATATTAAGCCATTGACAAAGGAGGAAAATAGTCTCTCACAGGATCTATCCTCTAAGACAACTCCACAAAAAAACCATTAAAAATTAATGGATTTCCTCCACTCTTCTCCGTTCAGCAAATCTGAAATAGCTGCAAATGCAAGTCACAAAAGCAATTTCCAATTAGCACAGGATCCATCAGAACTCCGGATAATGCCAGAAGTCCTGATGGGCAATAACTGCAGTGTGATGGGTGGAGGCCACACTCCAGTTGTGAAGCCTGCTCATGTCCTTCCCACAGAGATCATGTGGAAACTTCCAGCACTTTGATTCCAGGTAGTCACGGAAGCTTTCACATGACCCGTTCACCTACGCACTTTAATGTGTGGACATACCGTCTATCTCAGAATATAATGCTACACGTGCTGAAATCCAGCTAATATGGACATGCAGAACTTTCTATTTGGTTTTATCAGACCTGTTACTAAATAGGCAAACCAAAGAGTTCAGAAAAACGGTCAAATCCTACAAAGCTTGAAAGAGGAAGGGAATCAGAGGTACTAAACGAGGTATCCACAGTTTGCCTTACAGAGAGGAAGGCAGAAAAATCCACGTGTCACTGAAGCAAAGAGCACAGACACAGAAGCAGCTCAGAATGGCATTTACAGAATCACAAAGAGACACAAGCTATGGGACCCCATAAAGAGGGAGTTAAGGCACAGCAGTTAGCATAGAAAGGAGGAGGTTAACACAAACTTAGTGAACAATCTTCCACGTGGTATTAAGGGTCATCAGGAGCTGTGCTGAATTCAGGCTCTCTCTGAGAAGCAACCACAGAGGAGGCAGTTGGTGGCTGGGGAACTTCTCCCACCTGCACACCAACTACCATGGAGATATGCAGCCCTGTTCACTACATGCTTCTCTTCAAATGCATGGAAGTAAACTTTTGAAAAACAGCAGGTCTGTACAGTTTGCACAATTGCATACAAAGATAAACATTGTTTAAGAGTTGAGGAAAAATTCCTTTCTTCTGCCGCCCTGAATGCTGCTGTACAAGGGTATTGGTTTGGATTCACAAGATTGCCGGTTTCCAGCTTTATCACTGCTTGTTATCTAGGGACCAAATTACTAAATTGCAGGACAGAAAAATCACTTCAAAACCACACAGGTGGGAAAGACCACCTGACAATTTTTCATTCCTGGAAAATTATCAAAACTGGAACAAGTGATTTACCTTGTGTTGGACACAGCTAGCTAAGTAAAAGAAACCAAAGCCAAGAATTAGTCACAGAAATTAGCACTAAAGTATCAGTTTTCCCTAGATTCAGATTAGGACCTACTCTAGTAGTTGGTCTTTAACATTTTATTAGTAGCTACCTTTAGCTCCTCTTTCAGCAATGGTGAACAGCTAAATTTTTAATATTAAAAACGTGTAAACAGAATTTAACTAGTTTCTCTACCACAATTTAAGTGAACTAACAGAAGGGCTTAAGTCAAAGGGAGAGGAGGTGTATGATTTTAATAAACATTTTTCTTATTAAAATCTTGATATAGTTTAAATATACCATACAGAGGAAAAAAAGCTATTTATAAAGCTACATACATATTTCAAGTCAATGACGACAGCATATATCATTCTAAATTGCCTCTCTTCTTATCAGAATGCCTTGTGTGTGTATATATTGTGAGCTACTGTGCTATCTGCATAACTTTTGTCTAGCTATACATTACAGGACTTAAAAAATGCTTAATCTATCTACAGAAATATATATACATATAACATATATTTATATGTTATACATACACATACACTTATGTACATATACACACAATACATATATATATATACAGTACTTAACATGTATATATGGCCTTTCATCCAAGGGCCTTGGATACTTCTTAGTTCATCAAACCTCACAAAGCTTTGTGAGGGAGCTTTATTTTACAGACTGGAGCTTTGATGCCTATTCTAAACAGTTTCTTTTGTTGCTTTCTACTAACTTTGCACATTTCAGTTAGAGGCAGTTTTGGTAGTGGAAATAATCACAGCAGTTTGATAGCCAGGCATAAGGTAGATGTTGCTTTCTACCTTTGTAACTTATCCTCCTTAGTATATGAAAACAGCATAAATTTTCTGTATGCTAAAATGCCTCTACCTAGATTTGTGAAGCTGTACTGCTTTTCATTTTTATCACAGTAAAATCTAATACAGTTTTGAACTTAAGACACTGGAGGTCACAACAGGAAATCTAGCGCCAATCCTCATACATTGAAACTATCCTGTTCTAGGATGATCAATTTAGAGAAGTATTAGTACATGCAGAAATAATTCTACATCTATTTACCTGCAGTTTAACTACACAAGCCTGAAACAATCCACCTTATTTAGAAAACAGGATTTTCAGCATCAATTTGGCAACTGGTGATCAGGATTTGTGGTATCAACTGTACTCCATACCATTAGCAACTAAATAAATGAAGAAAACAGAGGCTTTTTAGAAAATCAGATGTAGGTAACTTTTGGTCATCCTAAAACTAGCTGACAGAAAGGAAAACCCAGAGGAGCTCTGGCTAAGGTGAGTTCTACTGGGATTTGGATGGAACATTACTTCAGCTCTTCCCAATAAAAGGAAGAAAAAAAAATCATTAACATGGACTAATGGGGTTGGTGAAGCAAGAAAGAACATCACCACCACAAAAGCTCTAACCCTTCAGTACTTCAGTCTGCTAGGCTTCCATAAATTTATTTTGACACCGAAAAAGTAGCTCCTTTCTTCATCAACCAATTTCTAACTCAAAAATCTCTCAAGCCTTAGGAAAAAGAAGTCCTACATCATGGTCAA